GTCCAAATAATTCGAAAATGGAAATCGGGATCCATGATGAGACCGCTCAAAGCATAATGCCTTCCAATAATGAAACGAATAGAACACACCCGAATTCGCCATAAGGCACGGCGCAACCGAAGGACAAGAAAGAAAAGAACAATCACACACAGAATCGTCCAGATAAGAAACCAATTCGCAATTTCTATTCATCAAGTTGCGGCCTGTTCGCCCGCTGCAAGTACAAGCAGCAAGCAAAGTGGAAGCCGCGTTGCAAATCCATCGAGATCCTGCCACGGATCTGATTCTTCGAGCTCCCCACACGAAATCCGAATCTCGCGAATAAGCAACCAATAGATAATCCTAAAAATCTTTTCGTTAGGGTTTAAAGTTTAGGGTTTAGGGTTCAGGGTTTAAGGTTTATGCAATCGGTCATGCGGACTGTCACGAAGCGAGACACTTGGCGACTAAAGGTTTAGGGTTTAGGGCTTAAAAGGAGCGAAAAACCAATAGAAACCCAGGGTTTTTGCAAGCTTTTGATCTATTGGTTGGCTGTGTGGCTGTGGGGGTGCTTAAAAGGAGCGAAAAACCAATAGAAACCCAGGGTTTTTGCAAGCTTCTGATCCATTGGTGGGCTGTGGGAAAGATTTTTGAAGCATTCGGGTTTCGTGGATTGCGACGTGCTTGACTACGAAATTCTTGCGTCGAGATTGCGCCTTGGTAATTAGTGACTTGAAGCAGCTTGTGGTTGTGATTGTGAAGCCTCGTGGATTGCCATTGTTTACAGTGAAGCAGCTTGCGTGTGCATCTGGTTAGGGCGACGTGAGTAAAGTATCATGTAACTGTCGGAAGCTTTTCCAGTCCCTTCAATTTGCCCGAAGCCATGTCAGGCCCCCAAATTGCTTCACAGGCCCTCTAGGGCTCTCCAGCCTAGATCTTTTCGAGGGTTTGGGTCCCAATAACTTTGTGAACGAAACGTTTTGAACGAAACGGTTTTTTTTTGGAACGGGGGGCGGGGGTAGAGGGGGCGGAGGCGGGGAGGAAGGGCGTGGAGTGGGAGGGGGGGAGGGGCGGGGGCACCATGGATACGTCTGCGTCCCCAATCCATGCCAGGAGGCATCCCTGCCAGGCCTTGAAGCTTTGAGCCACTCTGAAAAGCCTTGTAAATGGCCAAATTGTCTGTGCGGGCGAAAGATGTGGGGGGGAGATTGTTTTTTTTTTGGGGGGGGAAGATCTGGAAAAAAGATCTGGGCAGATCTGGCAGCTGGGCCTGAGATTTTTTTTTTTGTAAGGGGGGGGGGGGGGGGGGGAAGGGGGCAGGGAGGGGAAATTGGGGGGAGATCTGGAGAGATTAGATCTGGAACGCGGAGGGCGAGATCCTGGGGAGAGGGGGAGGGGGGGGGAGATTTCGAAAGATCTGGGCGGGAGATTTCCAGAAAAGAGAGGGGAGAGGGGGTTTAAATAAATTGAGCATTTGGCCTCTAGAGAGATGCGTTTTGGATTAATATACCTAAACACAGCTTGTCAGTTGTTTAGACAACTAACTTGGGAAATTCAAAATGACCCCACATACAACCCTAACACCGGCAACAACTAGCGTTTGGGAGGGTGGGAGGGCATGGGAGGGTGGGAGTGGAGTGGGAGGGTGGGAGGGGGGGTGGGGGGTGGGGGGGGGGGGGGGGGGGTGAGGGGGTCAGACCCAGGGTCTGGTTGACCCCCCCCCCAACCCCAACAAGGGCTAAACCGGGAACGTTTGGGTTGTCCCAGAACATTTGCAGAGATGGGGTGTTGGGGTTTTCACGTCACAAATTCAATGACCCCACATACAATTTCTATGTATTTGGTCTTGAGGGTTTTCCATTGGTTTTTATTGGGTTTCTAGTGGTTTTCATTGGTTTTTATTTGTTTTCTACTGGTTTTCTAATGGTTTTTATTGGTTTTTTGTTTGTATTTGTTTTATTGGTTTTTTTGGTTTTCTATTGGTTCTCTATTGGTTTTCTATTGGTGTTTATTGGTTTTCCACTGGTATTTATAGGTTTTCTATTGGTTTTTATTGATTTTTATTGGTTTTCTATTTGTATTTATTGGTTTTTCTTAGTTTTTTATTGGTTTGTATTGGTTTAGGGTTTAGGGTTTAGGGTTTAGGGTTTAGGGTTTAGGGTTTAGGGTTTAGGGTTTAGGGTTTAGGGTTTAGGGTTTAGGGTTTAGGGCCTATGGTTTAGGGTTTATAGAAATTGTATAGGGTTTGTGTCCCAATAACGTTTTGAGCGAAAGTTTTGACCGAAACGTTTTGACCGAAACGTTTTGACCGAAAGTTTTGACCGAAACGTTTTGACCGAAAGTTTTGTTTTTTGGAACTATGCTTTTCATTTTTGGGAGGGGGGAGGGGGGCTGGGGGGCTGGGGGGCTGGGGGCTGGGGGGCAGAGGGGCTTGGGGGCTGGGGCTGAAACAAGTGGCGGTGGGGCGGGGTTGGGGGCAGCTGGGGGCTGGGGCTTGGGCTGGGGCATGGGGCGATGGGGCTGGGGCTGGGGCTGGGGATGGGGGCTGGGGGATGGGGCTATGTGGGGGGGTTTTTGGGGGGTGTTGGTGCGTTGTGGTGGCGTTTGGGGGTTTTGGGGTGTTTTGAGGGGGGTTTTCGGGGTGTTTGGGGGGGTTTTGGGGAGGTTTTGGGGGGGTTTTGGTGGGTTTTGGGGGGGTTTTGGGGGCGGGTTTTGGGGGCGGGTTTTTCGGGGGGGTTTTGGGGTTTTGGGGTGGGGTTTTGGGGTGGGTTTTGGGGGGGGGTTTGTGGGGGAGGGGGGGGGGGTTTGGGGTTAGCGGTCTGATTTGGGACCTCTCGTTGGGCCTCATTTGTGGGCTTGACGTGTAGCCTAAGTTGGCTCCAGAGGTTTAAGTAAATTGAGCATTTGGTTTCCCAGGCGCTTTGGATTAATTTACTTAAATTCTGTATGTCAGCTGTTTAGACAAATATCTTGAAAATTCAGAACGATACCACATACAATTTCTATTTATTTTGTCTTGAGGGTTTAGGGTTTAGGGTTTAGGTTTTAATGGTGGAAAACGCTATTTTTTTGAAAGCTATTCCATCCAAGACTTGTCCATAGGTGGGGGGTCAAAATTGGGCCGGGGAGAGATGGGTGGGGTCAGCTGTGCGACTTGATTGCGCTTGTGTGCAGACTGTGGGGGTTGGTTTGGGATTGTTGCGATTTTGCGACTTGAATGGATCAGCTTCTGCACACAGCCTGTGTGGGCAGTGTCTTCAGGGTTTAACGGTGGAAAACTCAGGAAAAAGCTATGGAAGTTTTTGGCCACACGTGGCGCCACATGTGGCCACATTTCTGGGAAGTATGAGAGGCCAAATCATGTGAAGCCCCGGCACACATCGATAAACAGCTTGGAAGAGCCAGCTCTTGTTCCTTGTTTTGATGAGCTTCCAATCACCATCTGCAGGGCTTAATGTCAATGATGCGGTCTGCGCATTGGATCTATGGGCTTTAGGGCTCAGAGGTGTGTGTGGCTTAAAGGTACGTGGGTCAGTCCTGAACCTTGAGCCTCTCTTCCGAATACACGAATACCCTTTGCAGGCAATCTCATTTTGCTTTTTAGCTTTGGTTGGGCCGCCCTCACCAATGTCCACAATCGCCGAACAGAAGCCGTTGCTCAAATGAGCGGGGACCCCAAAGCCCTGAGCGAACCTGTCGGTAGGGCTTGCGGCATCACTGGCCCCTTACTTGATAGTTGCGAGGTCACGAGTATCCCAGACTGGCAACAAAGGACTGCGAAAAGGGAAAGCTCGTTTTCGTAGAGTGGGGTTGAAGTAGAAAAGAACAAAGCCCCAAACAGAACACAGTGGTAACATGAGAGTCAATATAACACCAAAAGCACTTAAGGGGCAAAGTAAGCTCTAAGCCTTAATCCCCGAAACCCTGAAGCGTTCTTTGACCACTGTTGCCCCAAAGACTTGAGCAAGCGGGTCGCCGTGAAGTGCACTCTTCACTATTGTTGACATTGTTGGTGGTTCGTTGCGGGTTACAAGCTTTCCATTTTTCCAACACAGGAAATGTGTGTGCGTGTGTGCGTGAAGCCAATTCATCTGCGTGTATGCTTCCTCAAAAAGTAAGCGCTGCGTGCAAGACAAAAGCATGAGCTGCGCGTCTGGGCCCCCGTAGGGCCCGCGCAGCGAATGCCGTTTTGGCGCGCGCAGCGCCTAAATTTTTTAACCCTAAATCCCCTAAACCGAAAACCCTAATCCCTAAATCATAAAAACCCTCAAAACCCTAATCCCTAAACGGTAACAACCCTGAAAACCCTAATTCCAAAACGGTAACAACCCTTAAAACCCTAATCCCTAAACGATGGGTTTAGGGTTTAGGGTTTAGGGTTTAGGGTTTAGGGTTTAGGGTTTAGGGTTTAGGGTTTAGGGTTTAGGGTTTAGGGTTTAGGGTTTAGGGTTTAGGGTTTAGGGTGTAGCATGGGTCAGCTGAACGCAATAGTGTGCAGACATGCCCACCCCAAGACCGCCCAATCACTACTTGCAACAAGCCAAACCAAAGCCAGCCGAACCAAAGCCAGCCTACATTATCAAACTTATGCATTCGACGCTGCACGTACTTCCAGCTTTTGAAGGCTAAGAAGATTTCATTGTCTTCGATATCAGCCCAGGGGCGACGAGCTGGACACAGGGCCGTGAGCAGCACAGGAAACGAGGGGAATGGGCGCAGCCACGGAGTCAGAGATCTCAAATGGCCATGGTGGCAGGCAAGCACGCAGGTGGCTATATGTCAGGCAGGGATGAAATGCGATGGACTGATTACTTCTCGCTAGGTCTTTAGATCATTCGTTGTGTATGCCGTAGACGGCCCTGTATTATTATGATAAAGGTGCATTCGGACACGTGGCTGCGCGATGCGACACGCTCTGCCTTTTGGCGCCCTCGAGTCGCTCGGCGCAATCGAGATTTTGCGGCTTCTCTGTTAGCCGTGGTGAGAGTACATTGAAACCATTTGCAAGCACTCAGGCTGGGTCAGCGGGCCGGGAGGAAGTGTTCTGGCTTGACGCAACCGCCGAGAAGGTAGTCCGCATCTCTCTTCACTCGTGAGAGGGCCACGTAACCTGCAGCAGGGCAGCCAGGCCGGTCCGGCCAAAAGGTAACATGGCTGAGCTCAGCTCCCTGGTACTTGTGCACCGTGTCCGCGTACCCCAACTTGACCGGATAGTAAGTCAAGCGCCCTCCAGGCACGTCGTCGGTCGTGATGGGGTATACACACAGGCAATGCTTGCTCTCTGTTTCCACCACAATGGCGTGCCGGCGAGGGTCGAAACCGAGTACGACAGCAGCCATTCCATTCACGAAGTCATTGGGCTTGTCGACGTTTCGCGTGAGTCGAACTCGCAGACCTTCGTGCAGGGTCAAGTGCAGCGGCTGCGGCAGTCGGTCAAGCAGCTTTCCGGTGTCATCATAGTTGACGGGGTTGCACTCATAGTCCGCCGGGACACGACCCAGCGCTGGCGCCGTCGGCCGCGGGAACAAAGCAGCCTGGAACAGTCGATTCACCAGAGCGGCCCCTCGCCGAGTGCAGGTGATCACGGTGGTGCCGCCGCCGTCGGTGCGCTCCAGGAGGCGTTTGATGTCGTCGCCAGTCGGCTCGTGGTGGCCAGACCAAGCCTTGTGCCCGCGACAGAGATCGCGCAACAGGCTGTCGCCTTCTCTTCCGGTCGGGCGGCTCTTGCGGAGGTACGTCAGCTTGCTGAGGAGAGGGTCGCCGCCGTCCTGCCGCCAAACGTGGTGCAGCTCCACCTTGCAGACGAATCTCCAGCGCGGGTGGCAGGCGAGGCTCCGTTGCGTGCGATCTGGAGGCGGGAGCTGCCACTCGTCGCCTGCCAGAACCAGACAAGGCACCCTGGCGGCCACCACCCACATCTGATGCAATCGCTCGAAGTGTTCTTCGACGAGTTGGAAGGCTTCATCGACGACGATCAGATCGTAGGCTGCCACAATGCCCAAAGCCTCCGTCAGGGGTCGATGGAAAAGGAAAGCTCCGTGACACGTGTCCAAGTCCACGTTCGGATGTCGCTGCCTCATCCGAGATCTCTGAACTCCCGTGGGCAAAGCGATCAGGATGCGGGCGCCGAGGGATTCAGCCCGCCGAATGCACCGGTCCAGCACAGCGGTCTTGCCAGTTCCCGGCGGGCCGGTGGCGGCCACCATGCTCCCGTGCTCCTCTGCAAGCCCCACCAAGCGCTCGTACTCGACGTCGTCCGCAGTCGCACGGATGCGAAGCGCCTGGTCGACGCGGCGGTCGATGTAGGTCTCGAGCAAAGATTGCGATGCAGTGAACTGCAGCTCATCGGAGTCGTCGCCCACGTAGCTCGGGCGCATGGGAATGGCCACGGCACCGGGCGGCGACAGTCGCCCATCGAGGTGCTGTTCCACGAAAGCTGCCTGTGCTGAAATCATGCTGAGGACCGTTTCGATGAACGTGTCGCGATGTGCTCGAACCTCCATGTAGGCTCGAATGGCAGCGGGCTGCCGCCAGACCTCCGGGGCTAGGTGTAGAGCACAGGCTAGAAACTTCACGCCGTCGGGAACACGGGCGACGATGTCGTGGACGAGCAGGTCCTCGAGTTGCTGGAAAGGGACGTGGAGCGCAAGCCACTGGCCGTAGAACTTGTCGTTGGTCATGGAGACCATTTCTGCGGCAACGACCTTCTCACCGAAGGTCTGGAAGCGAAGAGCGTATTCCTCCAGAATGGACTCCGTGCCCGAAGCGGCGTGGGACTTGCGGATGTGCTCCAGAATGGCCCCCTTCGCGTTCACCCTGCGAAGGAACTCCAGCAACGTCATCTGCCCGCGCCAGGCGGCAGCCTCATACTGACGGACGTAGTCCGGTTTCTTCGGCATGCCAGGGTGAGGGGCAATGATAGGCCGCATCGTCCCGCCCAGGAAGTACATGGGGAAAGCCTGGCTCGCCAGCAGCAGCCACATCTCCGGCTCACCGGGATGGAAAGTGAAGAGCACGCGCCTGGCTGCTGCGTACGCGCTGCTGCCGTCGTCCATCAGCTCCTTCCCAGGTCCATCGCTGAACTTGGGCAGGTAGGTCGCGGCGTACTTGAGCATGAGCCCAGTGCCTCGCTGAATCTGCACATCCTGGTGGCACTTGAACACGTCCAGGAACTCGGGGCTGTAGCCTCGGATGCCCAGGCGCTTGTCCAGGAAGGAGTGTCGCAGGTGCACGGTGTCCGTCGTGGCGTCACAGTAGCTGGCCTCCTCCTGTCTCGGCAGCCCGCTCCCCGTGCGGCCGGCTTGCCCATCTAGCACGTAGCCTCGCAATGGGTCGCCTTCCGGAGGTACCGTGGCGCAGATCTTGGTGTGCAGCTGCGACGGCCCGACCTCATCGGCGAAGACTAGACCGTGCAGGTGCACCGCCGCACGCCCGTGGTAATCTTGAGTGGCTTCTTTGCGTTTGCCATCTTGGAACTCCAGTCGCCCGACGAAGTTCACCCGCACGCGGCTGCCGTCACTTCGATGGCCACCGAAAAGGGAGGTCTGCCAGTTGGACGTGGCAGCCCCAAACTTCCGTCCGCCGCCGCAAACCCACTCGCGAAAGAGCTCGGTGAGCAGGTGAGCCAGGTGAAGGGCTTCGGGTCCAGCCAAACCGAGACGATGGCGCCCCAACTGCTCCATCTGGCGCAGAACCCACTGGTGATATGGCGCGGACCACTCAAACGGAGCCCAGGTGAAGAAGGCAACCGGAAACCCGCATTGGGCCTGCATATCCAGGGCGGCGGCGTGTCGCACCTTCCAGAACTGGGGCGTCCACGGGGCGCCTTTCATCGCCTGCCACATCGGCGTGCCGGGCAAGGCGCCCTTTTTGCCCCCCACGTCCGACCACATGAACAAATCGAAGACGAAATGCACGAGCTCGTGGTCGCCGGCGTAGTCGGCGATAGGGCCCATGGCCTTTGCGAGGAAAGAGCGCCGCAGACTCTGTCGCGTGGCATGCTCGACATCTTCTTCCTCAACATCGGATTCGTCTGCGCCGCCGGCCGCGGCGCGAACCGCCTCGACGGCGCGAGCCCGGCGGCGAACGTCTGCGAGCCGCGTAGAGGTCTCACAGAGGCGCCAGTCCCAATACAGATGTGGCCACAGTGCACACTCCACAGCCTCTTCCTCCAGGAAGCGCAGAGGGCGCTTCCGCCTCTCGGCATCAGCGTTGGGGTAGTCACGTAGAAAGCGGCGATGGCGCTGCACGAAGGACCGGTAGCTGGAGGCATCGCTGCCCATGAGGAAATCGAAGGCCTGACGACACGCACAACAACAGGCATGCAGGGACGGTAAGCCAGACGAGCAGAGGCAAAGCAGAACAGGCAAGCAAGACGCGCGCCCGCCTTCTTGGCGATCTTGCGGTTTCTGCCGTCCAAAGTGTCGATCTTCGCCAGGACGTCCGGCTGGGACCAGGAGAAGCGAATCATGGTGCTATGAAAGTAATACCCATAATCAGCCTTCCATTCCGGTCCGCAGTCAATGTCCAGGGGGCGCAACGACAGGAGCACTTCGCGAGGCAGTCCACGTAGAGGCAGGGGCACCTCCTCTGCAGATGGTACCCATAGTCGTGTCTCTTCGGGCTTGCTGCAGTTCTTGCACTTGGCAAGAGCAGTCGGCGTCTTCTCCCGGAGGTCGGCCTCCTTGAGATGCTGCGGCTGCACTGTCGCGCAGAGACGGCAAACCTTCCAGGAATGCTGCTTGCACCAAAGCTCCAGAAGGCGGGCCTTGTCGGTCACGTGCGCGTCTGGAAGGCCGGTGTCGTTGAAGGCCTGATCGTGGATCTTGGCATGCAAGTTGGAGGGCATGGGGTTTTTCCATCGGAAGTCGGCATGCCGAACACGGCGGTCGCGCTGCGGGAAGAATTTGCGTCGCACGTAAGCGCGGTCCTCCGCGACCCCGGCGCGGTAGGCCTGCAGCTGCTGCGCACTCGGCGCCGCTGTCACGGCTCGGCGCCTGCCCAGCGCCTCGGCGGCACGGCCGGCAGGTTGCGCCACAGGCCTCCGAACCGGGAGCTCTGCCGACAACCGAAGGCCCTGGCGATCTTCGTCCGGCAACGACGCCAAGGTGCTGCGGGAAAGCGCAACATCGAAAGTGTCGGAGCCGGCCTGTCTCCACTGCTTGAGGAACCGAACGATGTTGCCGCGGCCTGCAGGTGTCCCAAGAGCTTGGGCCATGGCTGACTCGTCGCAGAAAACGCATCGACCGCCATGCTTGCCTTGAGCCCGCGCGCCGGATCCATCTGCAGCGAAGCGGCAAGTTTGTCCGGGCAGGCCGTGACAAAGAACCTGCCGGTCTCTGGCATCTCCGCGGCGCTGGCGGCGCGGACGCTTGTGTCCTGGCCCGGCGGCGGCCGCGGACGCTGTGGACGTGCGTTCGGAGCTTGCTGGCAAAGAGGCCACAGCCACGTCGTCCAGATCCACGGCCCGCGCGGGTGCCTCAGGGAGCGGGCGGGCGAACACGTGGACAGAGGCTGCAGCCACGCCGTCCAGATCCACCGACTGCATGGGCGCGTCGGGGAGCGGGCGGCCGAACATGTTGACAGCAGCAGGGAGCTCAGACACGGCCGCTACCGATCAATGCCTACCTGCGCAGAGCAGAAAAGCTTGCCGACAGCGGCCTGTGCTTATGAGATCCACAGCCGACATCCACACTTGTGAACATTCTGTCTTTCTTCGCTGGCGATGCATGCGGGCGGAGAGTGCAGTTCGAACAAAGCTCCAACAGTGAATAAAGGTGGATAATGCTTATCGGAGCGTTGTAAATAAAGCGACGATGCAACATCTCGAAACGCGACTTGTCGATGTACACTATATAGTCCTGAGTCATATGTAGTTGCTTGATTTCTCGTTGCATCGAAGCAAGTCTGAACAATCACAGCCGGTTAAAAGTCTCCGCCCTAGGTTCTGCTGTCAGAGGCATCGTCCCGACGCAAAGTGCCCCCCGTGGCCGGAGGGTCGAACTCTGGGATCACGTCCGAGTCCTGCGACGTGGCGCATCCATCCTCATGCTGGATCTTGGCGGTCGCTGCCGCTGAGGACGGCCGTGCCTGGAAAGGGTCTGCCTCGGATGGTAGATCGCGCGGCGTGCTGGGGCCGAGGACGCAGCGCTCGATGTCCGCAAGATCCGGGCTGACCTCGCCAACTCGGACCAGCGCATCCTCGTAGACGTCCGCATCCTTCGCACGCAGGACCTGCGTGAGTGCACGCGCCATGTAGATCACTGCCCGCGCGGCGGCAGAGGAGTGCATGCGACAAGAGTGCATGAAGAAAACGTGCGCCGTGCTCTAGCATTAGAGTGCACTGTTGGCAGTTCGCACACACATTGATCAGGGCATCCAAGGCGCTCGGAGCATCCGCGTCACCGTCGACCGGCCACTTGCCGCCGCCAACGCCGTCTCCAGCCGCTCGGCGTCGCAGAAGAGACAGCGCTGCTGACCAGGGCTGGGCTGTGCGGGGCGACCCGGCCGCGAAGCGGAGAAACGGCAGGAGTTCCCCGACATGCCGAGACAAGCGCGAGGCATTAGCGGATGGACACCAGGCCTACGACAGTATAGCCTCCGGTCTAGCACGCCTCAGTTGAGCACTCGGAGGATGAAAGAAGAAGTGGATGCCGTGCAACCACCTCAATATCAAGCCCGTGCAAAGCCTTTATACTGCTCCTGCTCTGACTCTGGCAAGCCTCTATACTGCTCCTGCTCTGACTCTGGCAAGCGGCTATTTTGCAGAGCTGCTCAAGTTCAGTTCTGACAAAGCCCCAACAGTGAATAAAGGTGGATAATGCTTATTGGAGCGTTGTGTCGGGCAACGACGGCACGGCTTCTCTCAGGCCAACTCTTGAATGGCTGCCCTTCGAGAATCATTACAGCAAGTACGATGCGGAAACATATGCAGTATAGATGTATGTCCATATGCGACCAACCACAACGTGCCCGGCGTGCTGATGCGCGAGTTCTGCAGCTACAATCCTGCGAGCATAGATATACCGCGTGTCACTTGTCCCCGGTGTCGGGCTTTGCCTTCAGCGCCTCCTCCAGGCTGGCAGCCATTTTCTGCAGCACGGCGAGAAGCTTCTGAAGGTTTTCGGTCTTGGGGTAGCGGGTCTTGTCGCAGAACGCTTTCACGGTCACCTCCAGGTCAAGGGATCGCAACGCAGAGGTCGGCACAGCCTTCAAGTCCTCCTGCAAAACAGAGACGGGAGGACGCTCCCTTGCATCCTTGTTGGCCACCTCGTCCAGACAGGTCTTCAGCTTCTCCAACGCCTCCATGGAGTAGTCGCCGAGCTCCAGCTCCACCTCCGGGACGGGCTCTGGCGATGACTGGAGGTCGATCGGCTCGGCGGCAGTATCTTCCTCGTCCGACGCCAAGGCGTCCTTTGGATGCGCAGACTTGCCGATGTTGCCGCGCCTCGGGCGCTTGTTGCCAACCCCCTTGGGAGCCTCTCGTTCTTCCTCCTGGCCTTCCTCGTCGTCATCGTAACCCCAGGCATTGGCGTAGCCGCCTGTCCAGTGGCCGTCTTCAACGGGCTCATCCCAGTCCTCGAAGAGGGAGGAAGCGGCCCGCTTCTTGCCGCTGTCGACCTTCTGCTGGTGAAAGGCACTGACGAAGGACCACAGCATTGCCTCTTGGTCATCGGGCTTTTTCAGCCATGTCCGGGAAGAGGAGGGAAGATTGTACTCTGTGCCCACACGCTGAACGCCTGCTGCCATGACCCGGGGATGGTTGATGGCAGTGATTGCTTCGAGGCCTTCGAACGCAAACAAGTAGAGCCTTGCCGCAAACCGGGCTAACTTCTTGAAGCAGAGCTCCTTCTTGCCCTCCTGAGACATAAAGAAGCGGAGGTACCGCTTGACGGCCTGCGACGTCGCATCTTGATTGCGCTCGAGGTCCTCGTTTGACGTGTTCAAGTATCGGCAAGCCTCGAGGAATTTCTTCCCCTCGGCGGAGTCAAACTCGTCCAGGAGCTCTTGGATGCCGAGCTTTTGTATTGCTGCTTTGGGATCCTTGACGAAGTGATAACCCAGCAGAGCCGCTCCGGCCTCAAGGTTCGCGGCCCCCTCCGAGAGGGCGACGCCCTGTCGGGCGCAGTATTCGGAGCACTTCTCGTCGAGCACAGTCTGGAGATGGGAGGTGCTGAGTAAGTTCTTCTCCTCGATGCTGCCCCCGGCAAATGGGCTTCCCGTCTGATCCACGTATGGGCGAAGGAAGTACTTCGGCAAGCGGTCACCCCAGGCCACCTTGCGAAGCCAGTCCTTCTTGCCGCTCGGCCCCGTTCCCTTCTTTCCAGTGGCCTTCTTGCCCTTCTTGCCCGAACCCTTCCACGATGCCGCGCCGCCCATCTTGCCGAAGTAGGACATAGCAGAATGGCAACGGAAAGGAGCGGTCCGAGGGAGGTAGATAGCAAGTATACAGGAATGATGCTATATAGCTACAGAAATCTCAACATGCAGGCCCAGCTTCTGCAGACACTCAGTGACGAACCGGACAGGCTGTGCTGCGTGTGATGGAAACGCGAAGTCCTTTCAAGATCATTCGCCCACAACAAGAGTGCGAGGAAGCGCGTCCGAGGTCGGGCTGTTCCCTTCCACGACTACAAGCGGAAGCGCCTTGAGTCAAAAATCGACCAGCCACAGTTCGGCTGCAGGTCGCACGTTCTGAACTAAAGGCATCGGCAGCGGCCTTTCAACTAGTCTGGCCTTGAGCGCCAGCTAGGCCGCGCCTGTCGGCCCGATCATCTGTGGAAGTCGAAGACAATCGTTGCCTCTTCGGAGCGCTCCTGGCCTCGTCCTCAGTCGAAGGTGCCGGGCGGCACTTGTCCAACCTCACCCAGTCCTGCGCTCCACGCGGGTGCGAATACCTGACTGGCTCTTCGTAGTGCACTGGATCGCTGACGACCCAGGCGTACCAACGACGGTAGCGGAAACCACGCAGCTCCTCGTTCGAAACACGGTGCTTGGTCATGTTGGCGGGCAGGAGCAAGAAATGCTGCTCATGACCTTGGACTGCCACCAGTTGCCCTCCAGAGTCGACGACACCGACGGGCAAGCAGTCGGTGACTTGAACCTCGCCAAACAGCTTGCCTGTTCCTTTACAGGCCAATGCGATCCGCTCCCGTTTCTTTGTTCGCTCCCCCCTCAGCTCCCAGATCTTCGAACCGTCCAACAAGCTTTGGATCCATTTGCCATGAACGAGCAATGCTGAAGCTGGCAGGTCGGTCGATGAAGCCATGGCAACAAGACGACGGACTATATCAGCAGAAACGGTGAGAACACCTGGTGGCCAGAAAGCTACAACAGGTCGCTGTTGCCCATCGAGGCAAGGGGGCTGAGTCGAAGAGCCCTGCCTCACACGCATCACAACGCTCAAGCAGGCCACCCGCCAGAGAGGAACCTTTTTTAAGCATATGCGACTGCCAGCGCGCAAGTCTATGAGATGCCCCTACATCGTCCCTACTCAGGACGAGCACCTGGATGTCGTCCTCGCCCAAGGCATGCGGCACCTGGCGTGGGACGCGTTCGCAGCAGTCCGGATCATGCGCATCACAGTCGAGGCAGAAAAGGAGAGTGACTAGACACGGGAGTTAGAGAAGTGCCCCGCAGTGCCTGTGGCCGGATCCCCAATCACCGATGTCGCCGTCGACCACGAAGCCAAGAAGCATCCAGACCTCAGAGACACAAGACTACGACTGTTTCCGCTGCAAAGGGATGTCATGCATGGCTAGGTGCTGCCTAGAGGCGAAAAAAATGAGATGAAATTTCGTGTTGCGTCCAAAACCTCCCGCAGCAGGAATCAAAGGCCTACGATCAAAACACGAAACGTTTTCCAAAACAACATCTAGCATACTTACCCGCAGGAGGTTTTGTAGGGAGACTGCGTCCCAACCTTAAGGAAAGCCAAAAATCGACACAAAAACGCCCAAAATAGATAGCGAAAAAACGGGCCGTGATTCAAAAAAACGGCACAAAGCCAGGCGCTGGCAGAAATCCGGGATCGTATCTTGCTGGTTCGTACAAGCATGGCTATGGAATCGAAAAGCGTGGCACCGCGAACAGCACAGAAAACACAAAACAAACACAGGTTATGGACCAAGAAGCGGTTTTTGGCTGCCGCGTCGGTTTTGGAAAACCGTACAAAATCCCTCGGAAAACGCGGAAAACGAAACGGAACAGACACCCAGATTTTGGAATTTCGGCGTCCCGGGGGGGCCCCGGGACAATGTCCTGGGGGCGTCTCGGGGTGTCCCGGGGGGGCCCCGGGACAACTGTCCCAGGGCCGTCCCGGGGGGGCCCCGGGACAATTGTCCCGGGGGGGCCCCGGGACGCCCCGGGACGCCCCAGGACAACCTGTCCCGGGGGGGCCCCGGGACAACCCGTCCCGGAAGGGTCCCGGGACAACCCCGGCTGCTGGGAGGGTTTAAGGCCCCCCTGCTTATTGGGAGGGGTTTAAGGTCCCCCTGCTTACTGGGAGGGTTTAAGGGCCTCCCACTGGAAGGGTTTAAGGCCTCCCTTACTGGGAGGGTTGGAGCCTTCCGCGAGCAG